ACTTTAAATCCTCCCATTTAGAATAAACACATCAAAATTACTGTAAAATATATTGTATATCAAATCAAGCACAGAAATAGTCTTTGTAAAAATAATATTGCTTATGTACTTATTGTGATACTATGATTGGTTACTTCAATAAAGACAATCTTACATGGAGCTCTGCTTTTTAAATTGGGTTGAGACAGGAGGAAAAGCCCATAATGGTGCCCCTGTCAAAATGAATAAAAACGGAGGGATAGGAGGCCCGGCCCGCTGCCCTGATGCAGAAAGCTGCACAATGCTGTGAATGGCCGTGGCGGAGGCACAGCTGTGCTGCCAGCCTGACGACCTTGTGATGTGATCCTATGGCTGTGATCATTTACCCAAAAACAAATCGATTATTTCAAACTTCAGGAAACCCTTAGGAAATGGGGTACTGAGATTGTTTTAATTTTTCCTTAGCCAAGAATTAATCCAAGGGGCTTAGTAAGCATTACTATTTCTAAAATGGATTAGAAACTCCATCTTTTCCATCAGGACATTGCAAACAACTTAATGATTACATGTTTTACAATGATGGCTGCGCCTATACTGAATTCTTTCTGTTGCCTCGGCGGTTCGTGTGTTCTAATACTTTTAATGTCCTTTTCACACAGTGTGGATGGTATAAGAGCATCTACTGTGCAGCACATGAGGGTTCTAATTAGAGCACATTTGCTGAGCATCTGCTTTGTTCAGGCCATTGTTGCTGTGGAGATAGTAGAACACAGCCCCACACACAATACATTTATCATAAATATTTCTTTTAAAAAGGTAATGCTAGCATTGTATTGGCAATGTTCATGAGAGACGGGAGCTGTTCTAACTAAAACAATAGCAATGGCCAAAAGAAAACATTTACAAATTAAAGCCTTACTTTTGATTGGAGTTATCATTAAGGAGGTTCCCTTCAATTACTCATTTTCCTTCTCTAAGCTTTTTGCCAAATTGTATGAGAAATGTAGCATTCCTTTGCTTTCAAAATACGTTTTTAGAGATCTTCACTCTAAGGAGTTAGAGTTGACAAGTGCCATCAAAATTAATACAGAAAGTCTCTGTTCAAGAGTCCATGAATTGGAACTCTGGGAAATTAAATATACTGTTGGGCCAGCTTTTTAAAAGGGACCTAGTCATGCAAACTATGGAAACTATAGAAATCACTTAACTAGATATTAAATGAATAAATGAATATTTGTATCCACTTTCAAAGGTCTCTAAAAACATGTGTGGGGATAGGTTAGGAAATGGTTTTCTGCAACGAGGTCATTGTTTAAGGGCAGACATTCAGAGGCCACATCAGAAACGTGCTACCCAGGCCTTTCCTTGGCACGTACTGGGTGGGGGTGGGGTGACCTGGAAGGTGTTTAACGGACACACCGGGGAGATAGTAGGGTTATGTAGGAAGACAAAGTCAGAAGCCAAGAAAACTGGACCCAGTGTCACACTGCACTCATTTGATGAGAACTGAACTGGAGGACAGATGGTGGTGGCATCACCCCCTACCTGCAGGGACAGAGCCAGCAGAGCTGGGGCGACTCTGGTGGTGAGAACAGGTGTTGGCGTTAGCAGTGGGATCTCATCTGGGGCCCACCACTCCCCTTGGTTGTTATGAGACCTTCAGAAATGGACAACTTCTCTGATCCTCAGTTTCTTCATCTCTACAATGGAAGTAGAAATCACCTGACAGAGTAATCAGGAGGATTAAATTTGATAAAGTTGCTTTATCTCTAGCATCCTCTCACACAGCGTTTTTCACGTTTCTCCCTTAATCCTCATTCCCCCTTGGAGTTAGGTTAGGTGCCGTTACTGTCCCATCCATAGTAAAGATGAGAAAAGTTCCTATGCTTGAGATGAATCTGCCCATGGCCTCTCAGCAGCCACGTCAGACAGACCCGTTTCCTCCGGGTTGCAGAAAGGAAAAGAAGAGTTCCGATAGCTACAATAGATCACGCTTTGATAAATGTAAACAAATATTTCAAGAGGTGTGGCCCCCAAAAGAATCAATGAAAGGAGTATCAGAAAACCTTGCAGCTAAAGCTTAGATGGCAGCTTGTCTCTAGCTCGGTTAAACATCCCAACTTGGATCAGCACCGCAGAGTCAGAATGAATTGCATACTGGGACCATGCAGATCGGAAAACCAAAGCTCACATGGCGACTGTAGAGGGCCCTGCATTATCACACTGGCACACTGGTTCCCCGGGGCGCAAATCATTGCTCCATAAATGGTCCCAGCAGTTTCTAAGAAAAGACTTGTCTCAGAAAATAACACCGACTTGAGCATTTAAATTTAAGAAATTAAGGAAGTAAAGAATAGTCACAATTAAAAGATATCTTTTTAAAAAATGTATGCCGTTGTTTTCCTGAGACAACCTGCATGTTGGGAAATAATTCATAGACTGTCCATCATAGTGTAGTCGGTACTCTTGAATAGCTGGTTGTATGTGGGTCAACGTGACAACGAACTCATCTTAAAATATTCATTTAACTCATTGGAACAGTGGGCCGCCTCTCAATAGTGCTGGGGGTTTTCTTTCATTCTTAGTTTCTTTCATTCTTAGTTGCTCCTGCCCAGTTCTGTCTGTAACTCCAGTTGCTAAGGCACATGCCACAACCTTTAAAGAAACGGGTAACTCACCAAGAGGAATGTGCTTAAAATCTTACAAAGGGAATAACAAAAGCAAGATGAATCTGGAAAGGTATGAGAAACAGAATTATGTTCCTGGAGCTCAGTCACTAAACAAAAGTATAATAAATAAGACACTTCAAGTCTTGTAAGGTTTGAAAATGAGGGAGGAAAAATCTTAAGAAAAAGGGTAAGTATCAGGTAAACATTGGAAGGCTGGTCCCTTTTCTAAGCTACGAGATCCTTTTGCTGTCTGTCAGTTTGCCCAATACTCAGTGTGTGGCCAGAGCACTTGGGTTCGCTGGTGGAGTGTCCTGCTTCTTGGTAGATAGAGCTTGACTCACCCGGCTTTAGATTCCCACTAGCTCTCTATAGCTGGGAAGCGTTTCAGACAAAGTTGAGATTGTTGGAAATATTCTTTTTATTTGCTATGAGGTCTGTATCAATGGGCAAAATTGACAGCTTTTATGAAGGTGACCTGTTGCTGGGTTGAAAATGGTCATATCTATCACTTTTAATTAATGTATTTTAAGAATATATTTGGAGTGGTTTTAAATTCTAAGTAATAATAATAATAATTATGGCAGCTTTTACTGTGCAGTTACTATGTAGACATGTTTTAAGAACTTTACAGATGCTAACTCAGTGCCACTCATAGAAAGGGTTCAGTTAATTTACTTTCTTGTTCATCAGCCAATCTCTTAACTGATTTGGTTGCATTCTGGCTAGTTTTTTCCTATCTCTATTCACTGACTAAGCCATACATGTTTATGTAATTTTAATCTAAGCACTGTTTCCTCTAAGTTTTGAGGATTGGTGTCACTTGGATAGAAGAACCTGTGAGACTCACCCCCCTCCCTCAGACTCTTATTAGCTTCAGTCAACTCAGGGGTGAGAATCATCTGTCTGAGGAAACTGGTGGTTTTTAAGTACCTGTAATAGTAAGCCTCATGGTAATTGCATCAGAATTAACAAAGAGGAAGAAAACGTCCCAGGTCCTTAATGGAAAAAAACACCAGATTGGTCATACAAGGAGGAAACACTTAAGACAGATGCTGACTTATTTAAATAATAATTTATGATAAATTGGACTACATCAAAAATTTCTCAAGAAATGATCAGGCAAGCCATAAAACTGGGAGAAAGTATTTACAACCTCTGTTTGGCAAAGGATTTATATCCAGATTATGTAAAGAGCCCCTACAAATTAATAAAAGTAAACAAATTAAAAAAGAGGCAAAAGACTTGAATATACTCTTCACAAAAGAAGGTGTATTCATGACCAATAAGCACATGAAAAGGTGGGAAACATCATCAGACATCAGCGAAATGCAAATGGGGTACCATTCTCACCTACTAGAATGGCTCAGCTGTGAAAGACTTGACAATAACAAATGTTGGTAAGGTTGTGTGGAGCAACTGGAACTCTAAAACTTTGCTGGCGGGATTTCAGAGTGATTCATCTCTTGGGAAAACTGTTTCTCACAAAGTTAAATATAGACTTTCCCTATGGCCCAGGACTTCTACTCCAAGGCATTGCCCAAGAATAATAAAACTTGCGTCCTGAAAGATTTGTATAAAAGTATTCATAACAGTCCTGTTAAAGCTTCAGACTGGAAACAACACAAATACCCATCAAAAAGAAAAAGGATAAATTGAAATATAGGCATATAATGGAATAACACTCCATAATACAAGTAACAACTACTGAATCAATAACATGCATGAATCTCATAGGCACAAGAGAGTGCATACTCTCTGATTCCATTTACGTGAACTTCTAGAACAGGCGAAACTAATTAAAACAGAATTAGAAGTCAGAATAGTGTTTACCTATTAGGGGTAGAAGTGTGATTTCTTTATGGAGTACTATTACATGGTGTATCCAATTGTCAAAAAAAATCAACTGAAACTTTGCATTGCATTGTGTACAATATATTGTTTTTAATTGTTTCATTTAAAAAAATCTTAATTTGTTCTGTGGACCAAGATCATAGAGTCCTTTGTAGGAATTAAGTCATCTTCTGATTCCTAGCCTAAATTATTATTAAAATCTAGCTAGATGTATCTTTATTGCTTATGTCAACTGCAATTCTAGTCAGTGCCTTCTCTCCTCTCTCAGTGTCCAAGTTACTGAATTTTGTATTATGTTTTATTCAGAGTGGGTTGGAATACCTTTTTATATGGATCAAATACAGATTGAGAGAAATATGTTCCTGTGTAATTTTTGATGTTGTAATGGAATTCGTTTAAGCCAAGCTAGATCCACAAGTCTCCTGATACTATATGATTCTTACTTTAGAGATCACAGTATTATTATGAATTCATTGACCAGGACTTTTCCTCCTCTTGAAGGTGTACAAGGGAGAAGAAGCCACATTCCAAATCTCAGGCCTCCAGACCAACACAGACTACAGGTTCCGCGTGTGTGCATGTCGGCGCTGTTTAGACACCTCTCAGGAGCTATGCGGAGCTTTCAGCCCCTCTGCAGCTTTTGTGTTACAACGAAGTGAGGTCATGCTTACAGGGGACATGGGGAGCTTAGATGATCCCAAAATGAAGAGCATGATGCCTACTGATGAACAGTTTGCGGCCCTCATTGTGGTTGGCTTTGCAACTTTGTCCATTTTATTTGCCTTTATACTACAGTACTTCTTAATGAAGTAAACAAACCCAACAAAACTAGAGGTATGAATTTAATTAATGCTACACATTTTAATACACACATTTATTCAGATAATCCCCTTTTTAAGCCCTTTTGTTATTTGATTTATATACTTTGTTTTACAGATTTAGCTAGGAAAGAAATATCAGTGTTTTGGTGCACCTTTTTGAAATGCAAAACTAGGAAGAGATTAAACTGGATTTTTTTTAAAAAAAGAAGAAGAAGAAGAAAAGCAAACCAGATACCAAAATGTAGTTTTCTTATGTTTTTTTTTTTTTTTTTTACATTTTCAGATTTGCCTTTATTCTGTTTTCATTGATGTCTTTTGCAAACCTTTGAGGGTGTTTTTCCATGCTACACTTTAGTAATTTATATTCACCAGTCACTTCTTACGTCTTGACCATCTATACCTGTGAACATGAATCACAGTGTGTGTGGTTACAGGGCGAGGATCTCAGTGCTGTGCAGAGGACCACCAAATGACGACGACAGCATCCAGAAGATGCATTCACTCAGATAAGGCTGCCCTAAACAACCATACTGTCACTCAGTTAGGTAACTGTGTTTAGCTCCTTTAAATCAACATGTGTACTTTAATCTAAACTGTTTTAATAATCTGTATTTCTTATGATTTTAACACTATGAGCTGCCTGTCTAAGAAATCAAGTAACCAAAATGCACCTATAAATGACGGAGCATTGTAGATTTTACCACGTCGATTCATAGCAGTAACTTTAAGAGGGCATTGTGCAATAGTTAGTTGTTTCCTTGTTCAGCTGTTTTAAAAGCTGCTTTAACTTGTTTGTTTGTCTTTGTAAATAACTACTTCTAATCTAATCACTAGAGTTATTATATTCTGTTATGTTTGACCAGAATTATATGACGAGAACTGGTGACAGTTTAGTGCCTCTGCCCATTGTCCATAATTTACACTAATTGTGAGCAATCTTCTTATACGTCAGCTCATTATTTTTGAAAGATTTGCCTTTAGGCTGTTCTTTGAGGTATCCATGAAGTGATTGAATTTCAATACCTTAATTCAGTGCACATAATAGTAATCTAACAGCAGATGAAAATTGATAAAACCCAAAAGAGCAACATCTAAATTTGTAGTTCCTATTTTTGTGGGGTTGCCTTGGCCGTGTGTGGAGAGGGGGTGGTATTCGGTGGGAAGCACAGGGTGTTTGGGGGGGGGGTCAAGGAGCGTAGATTCTTTCCCTGGATCTGTCACTAACTTGCTGCGTGACCTGGACACGTCACTTTACCTCTCTGTGCCTCAGTTTTCCCATGCATTAAAAATAAATAAAATGGGGATGCTAATGTTCGTAAGTGCTTTGAGACCCTTGATTAACAGGTGCTATTGGAGTGTAAAGTGTTACTCCAGCATGTTTATTTTGAGTAATATGAGATAATCAATTTTAACCCAAAGTCATTGGATTATTTATATGAAGTCCATAATGTTCGCGTACCTCAGGGACATTTAAGAGTTGGAGGTGCAAATATATTCCAAAAGGGTGCAACAGACACAGTGTATCCCCCTGCTTCTGTTTTTGTATATTTTTGCTACTTGGTTTTTCTTGATCATAGCTATTTTGTGCTTGGTCTGTGTTGTCTTAAGATGCAGTATCCTGTACTAGCTTATAATATTCCCATACCAAAGTCATGGGGAAACCAACATTATTTTGTTTTTGGTTTATTTATACTATATTCTGCATACAGTACTTTAAATGCCAATTACAGTGCAATCTTTATTTATTGTAAAATTTTTTAAATGTACTTATGTACTAATTTTCCTTGTAGCATGTTATTTTTTTTGTGTGTTTTATACTTTTGTAATTTTAGGTCAGTCTTGTTCCTTGGCAACATCTGTAGTATTATCAATCTTTTGACATTTTCTTGTGTTTTTAAAGATAAGAGCATCTAGTGCATTAAATGCCAAAAAAAAAAAAATCCATTATCAGTGATTGCAACGTTTACATGTACCCAAAAAAACAAAAACAACAAAAAAAAACATAATCATCTCTTAAAGAAAGTGCTAAGATCAATGAATCATTCTGTGTGCCTATATTGATGTAGTAAATACTAGAGAGTTCTGTATTTTGTTATTGACTATAATAATTAGTTCAATTAGTCTTGCAAACTGATGGCATCAAGGTAAATATATTTTTGCCAAAGTTCTGGCCTCCCAAAACTTACCCTTCTATTTAAATGTGTATTAGGACCCACTATGACGTTGCATCTGCATTTTCTGATACAATTGCCTGCAGGTGTTTTGGGGAGGAGGCATTTTGTTAAGCAATGAGGATTCAACTGAGTCTAAGAACCCTGTCTGTAGAAAAAAGGAAGTCCCTTTCTGGAAACACTTTAGAACTGCTGCTATAAAGAAATTCTCTGAATTGGCTGAGGTTTTTTAAATGAAATAATAGTTTAGGCCAAAATTGCTATGCATATTTGAGTCTTTTTGAGGTTTTCGTACTGCCATATTTAACCACCAGGAAGCTGAAGTGTGCAAAGCACTAGCTGATGGCACTTTATTTTATTGCTCTCCTTTATTTGGTATTCATTATAATCCCGTCAGTCAAATTATTACTCTATCTGGCACTGTTTTCTATCACAAATATGTATATGTGTTATTGATATATAACTATATATATTGCCATTACACGTGAACAATAAAATAAAGTGTTATGCTAACTGTATCTCTTTGCCCCGTTGCGGTATGTAGGAAGGAGTGAGTGGCTTTGTGAGGCTCTGTATGTCAGATTCATCCCCTAGCACAAGGAAGTCCAGTCATGTGAAACAAACTGCCCTTTGTCCTCAGATAAATTTAAAAAGGAAACTTTTTTAAAAGATTTTTTTTCATATTATCTGCCTTGTTCTTATCAACTTGAAATGTTGGCATTTTCTAACTGTGTTTTGTTGGCTGCAGTAATTCAGTATTCCTGTCAAATTGAAAAGTGCCCTAATTGAATGTGTTTGAATGTTATCCTTGCACAATTCTTTAAATTGAAAGACAAAATGTTTTACCTCACTGTTGGACATACATTCCAAGCTTTTCAACTTTAGGAGAAAAAAAATAAAATAATCATGTTTTCCTGTATTGTAAATTTTAGACTATTTCATATACATTGTATTAAAACTGCCATATCAATTTTAATGTATAGATTTTGCAAATACTATGCTATATGTAATACCTAACTGTATCTGTAGTGTATATGTAATATATTTATGCCCAATAAATGTTTTAATTCTTTCTGACTTAAGTAGGGTTCTTCTGCCATGGAACAGTTGCTTTTGTTGTTGTTGTTGTTGTTACTTTTTAAGTTTAAAAACTTAAACGGCATCCCAGAAATTGCGAATTCAAATGCCGTTAGAGGCCCTGCAGGTGGCATAGTACACGATGGTTGCTGTGCCATCTAGAGGGGCCGCTGCAACCCAGCTCCTGCCGGTTGAGGTCCTACAATCACTATGTTTCAAAAGAAGCAAAACATCGAGATTTCCCCACATGGACCAACTAAAATGTGATTCTGGACCATACAGGTGCATGGGCTGCTTTTTTTGTTTTTTTTTTTTGGTCAGAGTCTGTGTGAATAACGTACCTCTTTGCCTAAATTTTATCTATATGCCAAATCTCAGGAGCCCAGGTCTAGAAGTCCCCTCACCCAGCACTCGGATGCTCGGTCTCCATGATGAACTCACACAGCTTTGACCTTCTTCCATCCTCCAGGTCTTATTCAACAACAACAGCAGCAATAAAGCATCGTGTTCCTACTATGGCTACAGTTTCATTGTTATATTTAGATTGTTTTGCCAGGAATCCCTACTATCTTCAATTTTTTTTATTTCTGAGGGGGGAGGAAATGTATGGAGAAACTAATTGTTTATAACTCAGAGCTCACTTTCTTATATAAAGAATGATAACCATTCTTATGGGTAAAAATGACAAATTGAACACATCGAATTTTGCATGCTCCTGACACCCCACCTGAAATATACTGAAGACATTTTTTAAGTTGCAACTCCCCTCAATGCTGGGAAGAATGAGAGAGAAGTTATTAGCAGCAGAATTTTGGAAACCCAACTGAAGAAAGCCGAATTCTAATTATTCTAATTTATCAGGGGGGAAAATAAGCACCAGCGCAATTTATGTGCAGAATACTTGGAAGACTCAAAAATGGACGTAAGCATGTCCTTTCGAAGTGATGGTGAAGGGGGAGAAGATCCTGAAATAGTATCGGTTGAAAGCTGTTTAAAATGCTGTTAGAGCCATAAAATACCTCCCCATTTGTTTTCAGCTGGACAACTGCCCCTTCACTCCTGCAGAAGATAACACATTTATCCTCAGGAGAGGGCAAAATCGAAAGTCCCTGGACTGAGAGACACTATCCACAGTTGAGACTGAAAGTACGATATCAAAAACGGAATTAAGTGAACAAAGGATACGAGAGGATATTAGAGTCTTACCTGAAGAGCCTCATGGGCCAAAAAGAAAGATCTAAAGATCTTCAGTGAAGTGGCTCGGCCAGAGCCCCCTTTGGTGGTACTTCTCATCCTTGGCTGCACAGTAATATCACCTAGAGGGTTTTTCAAAATCTCTATACCCAGACCACACCCTACAACAATAAAATGGGTATTTCTAGAGCATTAGTGTTTTTTAAAGTTCCCCAAGTGATTTCTTGTACTCTAGGGCGGTACAACCACTGTCCTAAGGTGAAACTCAGTCAACAAGCCTCTGTCCGCGTTTAGTCCTCTGGCTTTACTAAGAGTAACCTGATATCTAATGAAAAGTCCAAAGCCAACAACTTGGGAGAATCGGGGGCTAAGGGAAAAGAAGCTTCAGAAAACTCTTATCTCCAGAAAGGGAGAAAAGATAAGTCATCTGTAAACTAAGGATAGAATGCTATTGAAAAAGAACACTTGAAAAGTGGAAATATTCTCAGAAATTAAAAACTCAGTAGAAGGGTTGGAAGCTGGAATTAAGAGAAGAACCCCAAAAAAAAACAGCAAAAAAAAAAGATAATGACTAGGATCAGAGCAGGATATTCAATATCCAAGTTCTAGGATCTCCAGAAAGAACAGAAAATATAGGGGAGGAAATTATCAAACATGAGTTTCCAGAATAAAAGGGCATGAAGATGCTCAAAACAATGAATGGAAGTAGGACCTCTGCCAAGGCACACCATCTTGAAACTTCAAAACAGTAGGACCAACAGAAGCTCCTGAATGCGTAGAAAAACTGGTTACATGGAAGGATTAAAAATCAGAGTAGCTTTCTACTTCTCAATAGCAATACTGGAAGCTAGAAATCAGTGAGGCAAGTACGTCAAGATTTTGTAAAAAAGGTTTCCCACCTGCTTTCTCGCGATCAAGTGTAAAATATTATGAAGACATTTTTAGAAATGTGAGATCTCCCACATTTGCCTCCCATGCACCTTCTCTCAGGAAACAAGAGGCCGTGCTCTTCCAAACGAGTGAATAAACTAGGAAAGAAGCTTCCACGGGATTCCACCTCTAATGCCTTTCTTACAGGTCAGAAGTTGACCGGCACTCTGCCCCAGAAGGATTTATGCAACTTGCACTTTATCTCCTTCCTACCCCTAGTCACTGTGCACATAAACACACACACACTTCCCTAAACATATGGACGCAAAATGATCCTTTTAAACACCTCTCAGCATATCTTGACTTGAGCTACTTAAAATTAACAAATCTGTGTACAGGTACCGTTTATTCAGGTTGATGACTAAAAAAAGTTCCCACCTCCCCACTGGGGGGAATGTATGCCTGTGCAACAAGTCTTATTCAATTCTGCAGCATACAGCGTATTACCTGGCACATAAGAGAAGCTAAAATAAGGGTTTGTTGAATTGAACTTATTTCTCTCACTTTGGTAGGAAAAGTTCACAGTAGTAGTGATGTGATCCATAATACTCTTGCTTCTCCAAACCATGATCTTTAGCCATAGGTGTGTTATTTTGGTGGGGTTTTTTTGTTTTGTTTTTTTTTTCATTGAAATAATAGTTAGTAATGTGAAAATTTCACACAAAATACTGGAAATCCAGAGTCTACTGAAATTTGGAAGACCTGGCAACTGTAGGTCTTGTTCCAGAATGGTGGCTTTTAACAGACATGACTAATAGCTGTCCTTGTTGGTTGAGGCGTTTGCCCTGCAGTTGGCCACAGATCTGTGGCATGGATATGGATGCTGTTGGCTCTACTAACAAAAGGACATTTCCTTTGTACTCGTCTCCATCAAAAGTGAGTAAACGGGTGACAGGACTTCTAAGAATGATGGAGTGAGCACATCTGTTAATCTGCTTCTCCATAAAATCAACAAAACCACAGCACAGTGTTGCCCAAAAAGTTCTGGAAACTTTTTCCGAACTCTAGAAATTAACCAAAGGTTTGTAACAATTGAACCTTGGTAAGAACAGCAGGTTTTATATTTTCTCTCAGTCTGCTCCCCCTCCCCCCAGCTCCATAGCACCCTTGAAAACCGGCAGCCCTGCAACCACCAGGGAGCAGACTGGGTTTGGAGCACCTTGGGTGGTTTACCCTGTTTCACAGCTCCCTGGCAAACCTTCATTTGCAGGGTGTTGTCATCATTTAACCGACCTCGGAGCTTGCTCTATGGGAAAAAGCCTTAGACCCAGGATATTTGCTGAAAAATAATCAATGCAATTGTTGAGCCCGGCCACTATTTGAGGATGCATTGCCAGTTGGGGCACATAAGACCCTGGCCAAAAAGATCACATTCTGGAAAATGAGATGTCTATAGGGGCTTTTCAAAGTTAGTAACATAGTTCTCAGAGTCTAGAAACCCATGTGCACGTGCCCGGGCTTGCTCCTGCTCAGGGAAGATCTGAGAAGGCCCCAGTCACTCACTTCTGACTGACCTTAAGGCCTGGTGCAAGCAGGAATTGAAGACTAAGGCAGAAATGTGAACGCCCTGTGCATTGAAGGTGTGCTCCAGCATACAGAGCCCCCTGACAAAGAATGGGAGACTTGTGGGTTCAAGGCACTGAAGGAAATCTATGAGCAATCATTAATGGACTATTAAACAGAACATAGATTCTGGTGGCCAGATGTAAAGAGAAGTCTGGAAGGACACGATGTAAATTCATAACTTGGATTTACCCTAATAGGGAGTGGGGAGGTGATGATCAAAGATTTTAGTCTTAATTGGAATGTTTTAGCCTTTTAGAGGAAAAATGCATCTCTGCATTGTGGAATAACATAACCATATTAAAGAGAGAAAATTACATCCCCTTTTCTGAGCCAAAGGATAAATAAATAAAGGATCCTTCTTAATTTTTTTCCCTAGGACTGAAGATACAGATTTTGTTTTCTATCCAAGTTATAAAAGAAACATGTTCATTTCAGATAAAATTCCTTGCAGATATGAGCGAATGAATGCTTATGATTTTCCACCCTAGTCTTCCCCAAAATGAGGAGGTATACAAGATAACTGGGAGTGGTACCTGGTCAGCATCTTTTAAATGTATTTTTTGTTATCTGTACCAGGGGAGTATATATAAAAAGAGAAAAAAACCCATGAGATTAAAGTGGACATTTAAAACAATGTTTATTTCATTTAAAATATCTCTATTACAGAAGAAATAGAACAAGTAAATAATAGTGCAGGTGCTACTCACCTATGACAGAAATCATAGGGCTGATAAGCAGATGACTAAAGTGTGAAAAAATGCACCATGCTTCCTAAAATACAAATCGATATATGCAACGCAACACGTTTTAGGTTAGCATCTGCAAACACAGTCTGGTTTTCTTCAGGTGGAGCGAGTTTTGTTTTAGAGAAAGAAAGAGTGGAAATAAAAATCAGGGTCCACACAGAATGAAAAAAGTTTGTGTAATTGATCCCTAGCAGCCTCGGTAACCTGCTTAGACCTTCCCGTCTTACTGTGCATGCCCGTATTTTCATGTTCGGTACTTGTGAATATTCACATGAGTGAGAATTGGCTTTCCTAAAGTTAAGGTGCTTTTACCTAAACCCTGAAGGTTCTATACATTATTTTTGCAGAACCTGAGATGAGATAAAATAGATTGGGGCTTTGCAGTAGGCATGTGGGAGAAAATGAAAGTATGACGGCCCTCTGTTGTTTTGTCTACCACTTCCTCTGGGCAGTGAGCTAGGGGACATCCTCTCCCACCTCCAACTCCATTCACTTGGTTCTCCACAAGGGGTTCTCCAAGACCCCTTGCCCGGATTTAAGTATGTTCTTCTAGGGATGGGTCCGTAGCC